CATTTCTGATATTAGTAATTTGTGTTTTCTGTCTTATTTTCTTAGTCTGGCTAGAGGTTTATAGATTTTATTGATCTTTTTTAAGGACCAGCTTTTGTTTTTATTGATTTTCTCTATTAATTTCCTGTTTTCAATTTCATTGATTTCTGCTGTAATTTTTATTATTTCTTTTATTCTGCTTTAATTTGCTCTTCTTTTTCTAGTTTCCTAAGGTGGAAGTTTAGATTATTTGTGTTAGATCTTTCTTCTTCTGTAATATACACATTTAGTGCCATAAATTTCCCTCTAAGCATTACTTCTGCTACATTCCACAAATTTTGATGTTGTATTTTCATTTTCATTTAGGTAAAAATATTTTAAAATTCTTCATTAGACATCTTCTTTGACCCCGTGTTATTAGAAGCATTTTGTTTAGTCTCCAGGTGTTTTGGGACTTTTTCAGCTGTCTTTCTGTTATTGATTTTTAGTTTAATTCCATTGTAGTTTGAGAGCAGACAGTATATGATTTCTATTCTTTTAAATCTGTTAAGGTGTCTTTTATGGCCCACAGTGTGGTCTATCTTGGTGAGTGAATGTTCCATGTGCGCTTGAGAAGAATGTGTATTCTGCTGTTGTTAGATGAAGTACTCTGTAGATGTCAATTATATCTAGCTGATTGATGGTGCTGTTGAGTTCAACTGTGCTCTTACTGATTTTCTGCCTGTTGGATGTGTCCATTTCTGATAAAGAGCTACTGAAGTCTCCAACTAAAATATTGGATTAATCTAGTTCTTCTTACAGTTCTGATACATTGTTGTTAAGTACATTGAGTATTAAGTGTATGTGTAATTCTTGTGTGTATTAAGGATTGCTATGTCTTCTTGGAGTGTTGACCCCTGTATCATAATGTAATGCCACTTTTTTATCCCTGATTTCTTTCCTTGCTCTCAAGTCTGCTGTGTCTGAAATTAATACAGCCGTTCCCCACTTTCTTTTGGTTAGTGTTAGCTTGGTATATCCTTCTCCCCTTCTTTACTTTTAATCTATATGTATCTTTATATTTAGACAACATATAGTTGGGTTGTATTATTTGACCCACTCTGACAATTTCTGTCTTTTAATTGGTGTATTTAGACCATTGTCATTTAAGGTGATTATTGATATAGTTGGATTAATATTTTTAAAATCCTGGTCTGATAATTACAACATTCCTGCCATGTCTGACTCTGATTCTGATGCTTGCTCCTTCTCTTCAAACTATTTTTTGCCTTTTAGTATGACTTACAATTTTTTGTTAAAAGGTGGACATGATGTACGTGATGGGTAAAAGGAACTGTGGTAAATAGGCCTTTAGAAATATGGTGATAAAGTGATGGGGGAGGGGAAGCATTCTTTAGTCCTACAGTTAGTCACAGGCTTTGGTAAGCCTGTGCTCCTGGACTCTAAGCTTCACCAGTGCTTCTCAGCTCCACCCCTCCCCAACGGGTGGGACAGGATGCGTAGAGGGGGCTTCAGTCAGCTATTTCCCATCTGCCATGTGGCAGAGTAGAGGGCACTGGAGCTGAGTATTTCCTTTCTGTCAGTTAGGGTAGGTTCTGGTAAAACAGGTTTCTCCTGAGGGCAGGCCTTGTTAAGAAGAAAAGAGTGCTCTGGCATATTTCAATCTAGTTCCTTTTCCCTGTCCCCTTCCTGAAGCATAGGGGATTTTTCTCTGATATTCACTGTGAGGACTTGGTAGACCTCCTTGGAGGTAAAACTCACAAAAGTTTGTGTCTCTAACCCACACCCTACACTGGTTCCC